GATATGTTTTCGGCATTTTTCGTATTCGACATTTTTGCTTTCGGCAATTTTAGCGTTCGACATTTTTTTTTCGGCGTTTTTTTGCTTTCGACGTTTTTCTTTCAGCAGTTTTTTTTTCGATCTTTTTTATACCAATCATTTTGAATAGTTACTGAGCCCTTGCCAACTGATGAGGTCCTTAAGCAAGGTCGAAACGCGTCTTGGTAGCTTCTACTTATCCACACCCCAATTTTCGGAAAAAACGGAAAAAATGTCTTACCAACCCAATATATCGAAAATGTTCCAATCACAATATCGAGAACGAAATTCACGGAATGCCTATATGAATTTACTTTCGATTTTCAAATCTGAAAATCGGATATCTTATTTCATTCTTCTTCAATATCGCATTTTCAAGAAATTAAGAATTCTTCGCAGAATTCATACAGGCATTCTTTGAATATCCCTTCTCTTTCTGTATAAGTTATTTTCTACTTTTCAGCGTAGTAGATGTATCTTATTGTTCCAAATTACACTGAATTGATTTTTGAGGTATAAAATAATTATTTTTATGTTGCTGATTTCCGTCTTGAACTCTATTAATTAATAAGGAAAAAATAGCAACAGCAAACAGATCTATTCCTTATATGTGTATCCCGCGAGTTACATATATTTGTCTTAGACATTTCGGTTGTTGCTATTTTTTCCTCAGAATTAATAGAGTAGAAGACGAAAGTTGGTAATATAAAAATAATTATTTTATATGTCGAAAAATAAATTCAATGTAGTTTGGAATAATAATATGCTCTACTATCGTGTATTAAAATTTGATCTTTACGCTCATTTTCAACAGTTGAAATTGCTCGAACGAAGGAGTTTTGATGCGTTAAGCTTGACAACGTGGCGCAACGGTGGAAGCTTACCAGTCTTAACATGTTTTCATAGAATGCGGTTAAACTTATGAGAAGTGTCCCAATTTTGGTGTTTTAATGCGTTTATTAATCAACGCGGTTCAACGTTCTGTATTAAAACTCTTTATAATGTTGCGGTACTCTTAAATATGTCCACTATTAAAACGTCAAAATTCGGACATTTTTCTATAGGTTTAACACATTGAAAACAAACAAAATTGCGAGCATTTAACGTGTGAATTCTTCATTTTTATCTGCCTGTGTTAACGCAGAGCAGAGCACACTTGCAATGGCTGATCCTGTTCTTCTGTCATTGCATTTGTAGTCCATCGAGTCTTTTCAGTGAATTAAGTTTAGTTGTGCTAACAATGAATGATGCTATTGGAACAGATAGACTCGTGCATTGTTAGCATAATTAAACTTCGTTTCTTTTTGCTTCACCATTTATGACCGATTGTTGGGAGACTTTTTCTCTTATTCGAACAGAGTAATTCTGCTAGTTGAAATACAAAAAATCGTGAAGATTGTTTACCCAATCCATGTTCTCACACGAGAAGTGAATTGACTGCCTTACCGGCGGGGTTAACCACTTTCTATTTTCAACAAGACAAACAGAGTTTCTTTGTACGCGTGCGCATGCAATCTATTTCTTTTACATCATTGTTATTCCATCTCTTCAATGCACACAAAAGAAAACAAATAAATAGGGTTATAATTTGTTTTTCACTCTATCAAGGTTGTTTCTATAGTCTTGCAAATTAGAATGATTCCAAAGTAATGATTGTTCTTCGGTTTTTACAGTTGTTTCGTAGTACATATATGCTTTTGAATAGTTTTTCATGTTCTCATAAACCAAACCGATATTGTTGAACGATATTGCCACATCAGGATGATTAGAGGGAAGTGATTGTTGTCGAATCGCAAGTGCTTTTTCGTGAGACAAAAGTGCCTTTGCATATTCACCCATGTCGTCATACACTAAACCAATGTTGTTGTACGATACTGCCACATCAGGATGATTAGAGGGAAGTGATTGTTGTCGAATCGCAAGTGCTTTTTCGTGAGACAAAAGTGCCTTTGCATATTCACCCATGTCGTGATACACTAAACCAATATTGTTGTGGGATGTACCCAAATCAGGATGCTTGGAAGGAAGTGATCGTTGTCGAATTGTAAGTGCTTTTTCGTAATATGAATGTGCTTTTAAATATTCACCTGTGTTGTAACATACGTTACCAATGTTGTTGTAGGACGAAGCCAAATCAGGATGATTGAAAGGAAGCGATTGTTGTCGAATGGCAAGTGCTTTTTCGTAATATGAATGTGCTTTTTCATATCCACTCATGTTGGAATACACCAAACCCAAGTTACTGTAGGACCACGCAGTACCCAAATGATCTTCCGGAGAATACATTTCGTAGGCTTCAATGGATTTTTCATAGAATCGAATGGCTTCTACATATTCTGCTTGCTTTAGTTTACACAAGCCGAGCCGATTGTATAGATATCCTTTCCTATTGTCTTTAGATTCTTGTTCCATTAGAATTCGATAAATTTCTTCAGCTTTCACTGGTTGGCCTAATTTCATTACCAACACTTCAGCTAATCGTTGCCAGCCTGCTTCATCTGGATAAGTTTCCTCACGAATGGTTTTCGTCAACACCTGAAGATCTTTGTCATTATCATCCGTCAGTTCCAATTCCACTCGAAATATACGTGGATTTTCATCCGCTCGTTCGATACGTTTAATACGAAATACGGTGTGCATGGCAAAGAGAATTTCATCTTCATTTTTAAAATAACCTACTTCAGCAACAGAAGCGAATGGCGTTGTGGATTGTGCTGGATCTACGATGATAACAAAGAGAACACCTATCCGATCAGGTATGGAAAGAGCATGCTTGAGGAAATCCAATGCAACCGTTTCTGTCTTACTTGTAGACAAAAAGTTGTTGAACGAAATTAACCCACCTTTAGTTTTCGATATCTTTTCAAGGTCTTCCTTGGACATTCCCTGTCCACGATACACGATGAATTTTTCATTAGCATTTTTACTAGCGAATTGTTTCTTATGTAGTTCGTCAATATGACGATGCAGATCTCTAATAAAAAAACCCATTTTAATAATCGTATCGACTTCTGATCGGGCCAGAGCTCGATTGAGCATGCAATACAAGAAGGAATCCAATGTGTACCACCAAATGGGTGCTTTTATATGATAATCACGTTCCAACATTTCGACGTTGTCTAACTCTCTCTTATTATCTTGCTCCAATGTTTGTCGACAATGTTGAGTAAAGTCCAGGATGTTATTGTCTTTGAATTCAATCACCAAGAGTATTTCCTTCATGATTCTCGTATACATGAACATTGGATCTAGTTGATCCAAATTCTTTTTCGATATATCGTTTCCAGTATCCATCGTACTAAACCTGATCGCATCGTGCTCACAGTCTTTAGCCGATTGCTTGATAGCATCACATATCAGATTGATATCCGTGAATACTCCCTTGACCTTTGACCAATCTGTAACCCATCGTTCATGATATTGTTTATTACTGCAAAAAATAAAAATGGAATCCACCTGAGACATATGATGTACACGAGGTACAATATGTCTACCCAGTGAACCGGAAATGATCATACAGGCTTTCTCATCGTGGATTTCTTCCAGAAACTGGATACAATTTTCCCCATCTTCGAAAGCTTCGATGGTGTTTATCACTTGTCGTAGTTTCGTAATGGTGTTCTTACTGTCGGCACTGTTATCGTTGATATTAGCGTCCAACCAGATGAGAAGAATATTCTGTATCATTCTGATATTCGCTCTCCGATGAGCGACAGATTGTGTAAAAGAACGATGCACACCGGTAGGACTTTTTATTTTATCCCTTTTTGATCTTGATGAAATACAACCCATTCTTTATCGACTAGAAATGTTTTTGAAGCGTACTAACTAGAAAAAAAAACTGCTGAAAGAAAAACGTCGAAAGCAAAAAAACGCCGAAAAAAAAATGTCGAACGCTAAAATTGCCGAAAGCAAAAATGTCGAATACGAAAAATGCCGAAAACATATCGAAAATAAAATACCGAAAGAGAAGATGTAAAAAATATCAATATAGAAATTGTGGATTATTTAAATGTAAGTAACTTTATTTATTAATGTATTAATGATAAAAAAAAATTAACAGAACATATTTGAGCAATTTTATAGACAACTGAAAAAACTGAAGTAATAGTCACAGTACATAGTTAATGTCGAAGGTTATTTCTTTTGTTTTGCCACCTCCAACGATAAGCCAGTTAATAGTTCAATAAGATTAATTTGATTGTTTGTAAAACGTTCATTTAATGTATCGATACGTTGTTGTATTGCATTGCTTGTTGCTGTTTTTGCTCGACCTTTAGCACCAGCGTTCATTTGTAGCAGCATGTGCCTGAAGCGACCCTCCTCACCTTGTAGGCATTTTATTAACGACCAAATATTTGGATGAGATCTTTCGATACGATGACTTAAACGGGTGTGAAAACCTATTAAGTAACATATATGATTTCTTAAATAGGCTTTATTAGGTAACGATAAATACCAATAGAAGAGACTTTAACAATAAACTGTCGATTTACGACATCTTCTAACTTTTCCGATATTTTAATATGTTCGACATTTTTCCTTTCGACGTTATTTTTTCGGCGTTTTTAGCTTTCGACATTATTTTTTTTCGACATGTTTTTTTTGTTCCGACATTTTTGTTTTCGGTCTTTTCTATGCATACCTTCAAAATGATCTGACAAGAGTCGATCAGAAATACGTTACTCGATCTCCAAGTATATCGACGAGTTAGGAAGTCGTGATAGGAGATATCGACAAGGCAGCAGTGAGTAGAAGCTACGAAGACGCGTTTCAACCTTGCTTAAGAGTCTCATCAGAGTTTTGTGTTCTTTTCTTTTGTCTCTATTCATAGTTTTATTCTCGGCTTGTTGTGTTTATTTTATATGTAATATAAGTTTACAATTATTATTTTGTTTTTATGAAAGTATAGTTTTTTATGATGGTCCATTGATTTTATTGTGTTTGCTGATTATTATTTTGTATTGTTTGAATTCGTGTTCTGTCCATGTTGATGGCTGTTGATCAAATTCATGGGCTGATCTGAAATAAGCGATATTTGAGTGAGTATGTATGTTTTGTATATAGGTCTATTGAATATTAATTATTTTTGTAATTTTAAGTTGTTTTTTGGTACTGGGTTTATCTCCTTTGTGGTATTTTGAAGTTTCATTTGGTATGTTTGATGTATCGTGAAGAGCCTGGAATGTGGCATTGATAGTTGGTTGAGATGATGGCTGTAAATGTATTACTTTTATAGTCTTTAGCATTGATTGTAGGTCCTGTTGTGTAGTGGTGGAATCTCGGTCTATTGAATTATAGTTTAAGACATTTCTTAATGATAGAAATCGATAATATGGTATATTACCTAATTTTCCTATTTTAGCCCGATAATGGCGAATTTACTTTTATCATTTGTTGCTCTTCTTTTGTGTAACATTGGCGTCCAGACGACCGATATACTGTATTCGACATAGTTCCAGAAATGTAGTATTGTTTATAAGTAAATTGAGATTAGTATTATATCTGAAAAGAAAACAATTTGTATATGTTTAGATTAACCGTAACAAGCAGGTTTTGTTTCCATTTTGAATTATTCTTAAGGAGGACGTCTCAATTGATAACAGATCAAATCTATCTCTTGACGAAAAGACAAATTCAATCTGCTCTTCTCAACTCATGCTTTTCAGCAACCGACTTGTGACAAAGTGAGGAATGAAATTGAATTAGTGTGCTTTTAAATAGAATTAAATTTAAAAAATGCAGAGTTCAATTCGCCGACGCGTTTCATCTTATTTATTTAGATATAAATACTCATCAGGGTTCTCCATTACAATTGAGTAAGCACGAAAAAGGGAAATACGAAAAATGGAAAATACATAAAAGATGAAATGATCAGAATTAAAAGGGTTATATTAAAACGTAGAGATTTACCTGAATGAAATCAGGATTTAAGCATATTTTGATTGGTTACAATAAAATTAGAATTGAGTAGAATAAGGGGAAATAGAATTGGAACTGAAAAATATTAAAATGTAAAGCTTTGTTTAATTTCAATAAAACTTCGAGGACAGAAAAGCTTTCCTTGATTTCAATAAAATTTCACAAACAGATTTAAATATCTAGTCGGCAACATCTGGTGCGGTATTAGGCGTACGTCCTGTTGCATATTTTGGCAAGAAGCATAGGTTTCTTGATAAATCTTATTTTAAATCTATTTATGATTTGGTTTAATTTTGATTTAATTGTTGAAATTAATAGGGAAATACTATTCAGTGTACGGGCTCGTTTTCAGTCGTAAAAAATAAGACTTACAACTATAAATTGATAATATTTGACTATAAAGGGGTAATATTCCAGGTATTTCAAAAGTTCGAATTTTTCAAATGTACGAAAATCAAACTAATAGGTTGAATCAATTTAATCTAAATTGTGATTTAATTCGTTGATCAAATTAAATTTATTTTACTAATTGGATTTGAAGTAATTATTAATTTTTTGATTTTTATTCAATTTTTGTTTGTTCACATTTGTTTTGAGGGGACACATGTGTTCTTTGTTTATATTTTTGTTGAATTGAATCACATATCAATGTTAATGAACGTTGATACTACAAGCGATGTTGTTATTATTCTTAATAGTGCTTTAGGATTAATGACCTTTTGAATTCCTTATTGATTGTTGTATTGCTAATCGGACCATTGTTGATTATTATATAAATATGTGTACCTTTCGTTCTAATTTGATAAATATTTTCAATTAACTTAATCCAATGGGTTCACATTATTATCCAAATTTGTTGTTTTTTATTAGTGCTATGGAATTAAAACATAAAATATTCTCTAGATTAAAATATGGAATATCACAATATAAGTTTATTTAAAGGAACATTGTTTGGCTATATAGTATTGGCTATTAATTATTCACGCTCAATATAACGTCTAATATTAGTTCTATTATTTTTATCGAATCAAGATAAAATATATTAGTTTAACATTGAAATAAGTCAATTTTTATACAACAGAATTCAATTCAATTCTTGGGATTTTTCAAAATCATAGTTATTTGTAAGCGTTCGACAAAGTGTGTTATGCTGCCCTCCTTTAAAACGTTAGAAGTACTTGAGATGCCTTTAAATCTTCGAAGGTGGATATATTCATGGTTGCAAAATTGCACTATGACGGTTAGCCAGAGAAATGCTGAGTCAAGAATTATTAAAGTCTGCGTCGGAGCTCCTCAGAGCTCTATACTTGCTTCACTACTATTTCGATTACATGTTCACTTTCTTCCTTCATACTTTCGACAATTTTTTTCCTATCTCTTCGCGGACGATTTGACATTAGTGCTTAACAGATCCCTTGAAAAAAGAGAACAACGTGAAAGACCTCGAACTACAAGCTACAGTTGTTTTAGAATCTCTTGAAAGATTCTCGAACGACTACATTTTACCAGTTAATGTGAAAAAAACGAAGGCGATGTTAGTATACAGTGCAGTAGCACCAATAAAGCCAAAGATCGAGTACAGAGACGTTGACATTGAGTACATTACTTGATATAAATATTTTGGAACAGAAATTAGAACTAAATTAGGATGGAGTAATCTTATTAACGACCATATAAAAAGAATAAAAAATATGTATAGTGCACTAAAAAACTATTCCGAGAGAAGAAATAAAAATTCGAAGGAAATTATTTTGTGCATATGCTTTTCCTCACTTTAGTTGGCTATTCACCACCTGATTCTACTTTACAGAAGATCAGCAGAATTCCATTGAACATGTGCATTTCTGATACTGCGACGACTTGACTATTCTCTCTGCTTCCAGAGAATATTTCTTAAAAGACTATATATCTAAATATTGGACTAAATTTGAGAAACATGCAGAAAGGTCACCCGATGTTCTTATATATCAGTAAACATCGTCTGCTTTCTTGACTGCGACATATCTCTCTAGACTCTATTTATAAATCGGTGGGTTTCCGTAAAAACGCACAATTCCCAAAATCACTATGAATAAACACTCGACATATGAAGTTGGAGCTACTCACTTTTAACAATA